ACACACACACACACACACACACACACACACACACACACACACACACATCATTTTATCATGCACTTATAACATTTGCTGTCATTTTATTCCAAACTTTTCAAAGGATGGTAATTCATTTGCACAAAATTCTTTAAAAAAGAAAAGAAAAGAAAAGAAGCCCCATTTATGGTATGGCATGTCTTATAAACTGTGATTATAAAGCAGTGCTTTAAAAACAAACTGTAACCTTGGTTTATCATGCATTAGCTAATTTAGGTCTCTTCTAAATTAATGGCTAGTTTGTGCTTAAACAACTATTAGTCCTTTAGGTAAAGAGTGCAGGGAAGAAAAGTATCTGCTGTTGCTCCTATAGAGCAGGGGTGCATATCACCCATTTTCATACACACACATTCCTTTCCTCTCATAAATCAAACAGGGTTCACAAGCATTTCCTCCAGTTTCATTCACTTATTGCTGCAAGCAGTTTTCAGTTGAGCTACTCTAAATGATGATTTGAAGATTTGACATGTTAAAATATGCTGATGGTCGCAATAGTCTCCTCTCTGTCCTTTTACTTAGCAAAGAGCCTTCCCAGCATCGGGTCAAGAGATGGGGCTTCTCTATAGATGAGGTGTTGAAAGATCCTGTGGGGCGTGACCAGTTTTTTCGATTTTTGGAATCAGAATTCAGTTCTGAAAACCTCAGGTAAGCTAGAGGTTACAGCACTCTGGTGGATGCGGGGCTTCACACTAGGGAAGCATTCACTGGCCTCAAAAATAAGGACTGAATTCCACCATGGTCTATAGATTATTTAATTAACTTCATTTATACCTCATCTTTATATCCAACTTTAAATCAGTTGAATGAGTGTCATCAAGTCAGACTTGACTTCATATAACCTCATGGATGATTCATGGCTTCCCATTTTGGGTGTCTCTCCAATAACACCCTACAGCAGTTCCAAGGGCAGTTTGGAGATTCACAGAGTCCAAAATGGCATTTGCAACCATCCTTATTCAATGATATTTTGGTGGGATTTAGATAGAAAGAAAAGAGCTTCCCAACCACGAAAAAATTTCTAATAGCTTTAAGTTGACTACGGTAATAGGCAATTTCTCAAAATGATGAGAAAATGATGTTTGTGAACTTAGTGGCCTTTAAAAGGGTTCGCCGTGATGGTGAGCAAGATGGCAAATACCTTTGTCTCCCAGCTATCAGACTCATAGAAAGGGGCATCCTGTGGTCTCCTCATGAAGAGCAGCTGTCCAGAGAACATGTGGTCAATCTCCTGTCCTCTCCTTATCTGGAAAGGTTCCAAGGGATCAGTTTATTGGTCTTTACTATGCTTTGCTTTTGCAGAAATATCTTCAGTTTGCCATATCACCCCCCAGAGGTCCCCAGCCCCTAAAAGATTTCTGTAGACATTCAGAAGATGCACTGTTCTATGTAAAAATCTGATTTTTTTCCCACAGTCTCAATCATTTTTCCATTATGTGTTAGCATTCAATGGTAAAAAGTACTTTCTCCGATAAGCTGGGTAGCACGTTAAATCACTTGAATCCTCTCTATGATAGCCATTGTCAGCAAAGGAATTGGATGGTGCCATCATCTTCCAGGTATCAGGAAACATTGTCAAAAGAATTTAGAAGGCTAACACCTGTTAGTGCCTTTTCAGCAAATAATTTGCAGAAGGAATGTTGACTCCTTGCCCTCACAATTGACATCTGTAACAGACATCTTAAAATTGGAATTCCATCAGAGGTTTTCTTCAAGCCTCATTGAAATGCATGCAGCTTGTGCATGTAGATCTAATCTGTATTGTGACTATAGGAAGAAGCAGTGGAATTTTGTATACAGGTAGTACAAATTGTAGTCCTCAACTTAGGACCACAACTGAGCCCAAAATGTACGTTGTTAAGTGAAAAATTTGTTAAGTGAGTTTTTCCCCATTTTATGACTTCACTGCAGTTGTTAAATTAATAACATGGTTGCTAAGTGAATCAGTTGTTAAGCAGGCAAATGTAAATCTCCAAGGGGAGCTACAACAGTTGTAAGTGAAAAATGTTCATAAGTCACTTTTTTCAGTGATGTTGCATCTTGGAACAGTCACTTAATGAACTGTTTTAAGTCAAGAACTACCTGTACTTACTAGCTGTATGTACACAACGTGTTAACCAAGTCCGTTACAAACCCAGTGGCTACATTAATACAACATGCTTAACTTTAGCATTTGTTAGATCTTTGGGGATGCCGTGGCTCAGTGGCTAAGACACTGAGATTGTCAATCAGAAAGGTCAGCAGTTCAGCAATTCAAATCCCTAGTGCTACGTAATGAAGTGAGCTCCCATTACTTGTCCCAGCTTCTGCCAATCTAGCAGTTCGAAAGAACATAAAAANATCATCTATCTATTGCATCACTTGAAATGTTAAGAAGATATATGTATAGATAGCTTGAACTGGAACAACCTCTAGTGACTGGCATGGAAAATGCCATGTTAAACTGCTTTGAATTCATTTAGTTAAGCTGTAAATATTGTTAACCTACATTTCAGCATGTCAATATTGATATAACATGGGTATGGTTTCCTGTGGTGTACTTTATTAATTCTTATTAACAGAGGATCAATATAAACTAATTATTTCTGTGAACCAGCAGTTGGAGCTCTGCAAAATGAGCTAGGGATTTCAAGAGTGCAAGTTTCTATATTTATTCACTTACAACTATTGGATATGCACAATTAAGAAAACAAACATGATTGCTGGCCTTTTGCCACAGTAAGAATCCATTCATTCAAACAGTACATGTGAAAATGTGACAGAAAAACAAAGGAAATCATACACAAGCAAAAGCAAATGACACTACCCCACAACCAAATGAATTAATAAAGCCAGCAAGAAGGAAACTTTAATGTGGTGAAGCTAAATCAACACAAATCTTTAAACAGACTTTAAAGAGTCTTCAAACATCTGGTGGATTCAAAATGTTCTCACCTGACACTGGAAAAAACCACAAATGATTGAAATAAACCATTTGCATTGAAATATCATTTGCATTGTTCTTAATTTCCCGTGGCACTTACCATTGCATTAGGAAACATCCATTCACAGTGACATTGTTCGTGTTACTCCAATCGTCTTTGCAGATGACGGTGCCTTCATTCCTTTTTCTTTCTCCTTTTTTTCCCCATTGCTTCATTTCCTGCATGCTGTATATCCCAAAGTGAAAGCTTTCCCCTCTTCCGAATCCTAATCCGTAGTGGTTGTGAAATGCAGTTAATAAAATGAGATCAGACAGTAGTGGCCAAAAGACCCTGAAGCTGAATTGCTAGAACTTTTGTTAGTTATGAAACATTGTGATTCTGATGCCTGGTGATATAACATCATCCTTTCCATGACAGATTCAAGAAAAAACAACTTCTCACTAGCAGCCAGTTTTTTATTATTATTTTCAAATGTATAGAGATACAGTACATTTAAAGCATTTAAAAACTTTCCCAGTGTGCTTGTTTTTTCTTTTTATGTTACAGTTTAATTGCATATTCAGAGCAGTACACGGATTATGATCCCTTTATAACTCCTGCGGAACCCTCCAATCCCTGGATAAATGATGACGCTGTGTTTTGGGACTTAGAAACAAGGTAACCCCCCCCCCCACACACACACACTTTTTAAACAATACTTCATTCTGTTCTGTATTAAGAAGCAGAGACTACCGGATGTGTGTGACAAAAACTCAGATGCGTACTACAGGGCTTTTAGAAGTTGAAACGTTCTATAGGACTTTATTGCTTCCAGCAAGACAATAACTGGTAAACCTACACCAGATCTCTTATGGCATAACAATGGCAAGTTATATTAGAAGAGTTGGCATGACCAAACCAAATGGCATTTAACCCCATCCTTGCGCTCCCTCCCTCCCTCCCCCCCCTCTCTCTTTCACACACACACACACACACACACACACACACACACACACACACATCA